CTTTATAAAATACTGCTTTATTATACCGGGTTCTGAGCCAGAACTCTAACCACTGCGCCACGGTCTTATTGATGCATCATGTGCATGACATAACTTGAAGTAGATTAGCATATATAGGGATTTATGACTTTAAGTCATTAAAATATTTTTTACTCTACTTGTGGTTTTATAATATTATGTTACGCATATCATTCATTTGTTATTGTTTACATATAATTTTATTTATATTTATAGGTTAGAATGGAGTCACTTAGTGGAGGACGAGCTGTTATCAATATAAATGAAACCATAAAACAGCACGCCTCTATCATCAAAAATCTCATTTCTGAACACGCACTAACAGGATGTGATACCGTGTCAGCTTTTTTGGGCATTGGGAAAGGAACTGTGCTTAATCATTTGATAAAATTCAAAGACATCCTTAATTTGGGAAATACAGCGTCTTTGATCGATGAAGTTTTTGGTTCTGCCGAAATTTGTTGCATCTTTATACGGTAGAAAACAAGGCGAAAGGTGGAATTCAATGCGTTTTGCCATCTTTTCAAGAAAATATTCAGGAAAACAACACGTAACACCAAAGGCTTTGCAGTTTTCCGCCGACACAGGCTGTATTTAGACTTCACTATGCCAGAGCATACTTCCAAACGGTAATTTGAATATGGCTGGGAAGTTGTTGGTGATAAACTTAAGTCAAGAATGAGTCCTACTGAAAACCAAATTGCGCCTCCAGGTGTTTTGCGTCTAGTGACTTGCGGCTGCGCTACAGCTTGTCGAACCACACAATGTTCTTGCTCGAAAGCAGATAATCATGCATTGAATTTTGCAAATGTAAGGGAGACATCAGTTGCCTTAATCCGGCAGCAGTTGCAAAGTCGCCAGAAGGTACTGAATCGGAAGATTATAATTTTGATATTGAAGTTTTAAACATCTACTAATCTTTTAACAGTCATATAGTACAATATTTGTTTAAATTGTATCTCATCTCAACTATCTCAACTAAGTAATTAAGAAACCAACAAAACAAATTTGTAAGTGAAAATAAAATATAGTGAGTGATGAGTGAAAATACACTGCAAGATGTTTTAGATATATTTGAAAATCAACTTTTTTGGCGGCCATTTTGAATTTTTAAATTATTTTGGTGGCCATTTTGGATTTCAATAAATGTAGAATAGATAGAAATGAAATCTTTCATACTATTTATGTAAGTTTGAAGACAGTATATAGCTTTGATTGACGATTACAAGTCTATTATTATTATTATTATTATTATTATTATTATGTATTTCGCCGTTGAAAAAAGTTTACAAGTTTGTGCAATACAATGTATAATACATGGCTGGGGCAAGAAGAAGACTAGTTTAGTCTTATTACCAAGTCTCTTTAAATAAAACTGACAATATTAAAAATACAAAGCAAAGTAAATCGTTAAATAAACGTTAAATAAAACGTTGCGTTAAAATAAAATAACGTTAAATAAAATGTAACATTTTACGCTATGTTAGAGTGTAATATATCCAAAAGTAAAAGAACATTAGTTAAATTCATTTTTTCTAACTGGTTTTAGATTTATAAACCTTTTGAATTTAGATCATAAAATAACAAATAATACACGAATAACAAACAAAACAAAAAACAATCATTTTTAAAAACATTTTTAGTAACTTAATGTGTCTTTTATATATGTTTTTTTATGTTTTTTATTAAAGTTTATTATATAAAATAAAAAAAGAAAAAAAAAAGAAAAAAAGAACGTCATAATGTACAAATTGACTAACAGTATATACAGAATATATATTTAAACCATATTTATAAAGAAATAAAATAGACAAACGCGATTACTAGTTTAAAGGATTCAGAAAAATTTTAATTCATTGTCATTTATTAAAAGCTTTTGTTTAAGTTTGTTTTTAAAATGTTTAATAGAAGAAATAGTTTTTAACTCATTATTCAATAGCGTGTTCCATAGTTTAGGACCTCTGTTTGCAATTGAAAACTTAGTAACAGAGTAATAGGTTTTAGGTTGAATATAATTGTTTTTTGAAAATCGTGTTGAGTATAGATGATTTATTTTTTCCAAAAATGAGTCAAACAAAATAGGTGATATTTTTTTATTAACTTTGAACATTAAAATAAGAATTTGATAAAGATTTAGTTGAAATACGTTGAGAATATTAAATTTAATGAATAGAGGTTTAGTGTGTGAGAAACGATCTACATTTCCAATAATTCTCACAGCATGCTTTTGTTTAATTAATAGTTTATTTATTTTAGTTGCATTAGTGCTACACAAGGCAACGTTAGCATAACTTAGGTAGCTATGAATAAATGAAAAATAAATGTATTTTAAACAGGTTTGATTTAATAACTATCTTAGCTTTGTAAAGTAAACCAATATTTTTCGAAATTTTATTGTGAATTATATTTATGTGCTCCTTCCAACTCACATTTTCATCAATAACAACACCAAGAAATAACAATAAACGCTCTCTTACTATACAAGAGTTATTTACAACTAAGTTTGGAAGATTTAATGGGATAAGTCTCTTTTCATGAAGACGGAAGAAAGTATATATATATATATATTTTTTTTTATGTTTATGGATAATTTATTTGACATAAAGCATTCGCTTAGTTTTGCAAGCTCTTTGTTTACTGTTTCAAATAAAGAATTAATATCCTTATCAGAATAAAATAAGTTGGTATCGTCTGCAAATAGGATTGAATTTAAGATTATTTATTAATATATTTAGAAAATTTTTTTAAGTGGTTTATATAAATGAGGAACAAAAGGGGCCCTAAAATTGATCCTTTCGGGACGTCGCAAGAAATTGTTGCTAAATCCGTTTTACTATCATTAAAAAGGAAACGTTAAATACAATCCGTCAAAGTGCTGTTTGAACAGTTTTTCAAAATTCTAGACCCGATTACGGCATTTACAATGTGATTTAAATGTTATCAAATTGATATTAAACAAAAATATTATTAATAATAACATGATTAATAACAAATATTAAATAAAAATGTTATTAAAAATCTCAGATTTGTTTTTATTTTAAAGTACAACTATTTTTCCTTTGGAGATTGCATCGGTTAGTAAAATTTAGATTGCACTTTGAAGGATTGGATTTAGTGTTTTCCTCATAAAAGTCGATTTAAGAGAATTTGTAATTTTGGTCGCCATCTTGGAGAAAAATGCGGCTAACGTAAAACGCCCAACAGATGGCGTCTGGCTCCCAACGGATTGGGATTCCTCAGGTCATTTCCCATAGGAACCATAAACAAACTTTGTATATGTCTCAAAACTATGTATTGATACGAAATGCTCGGACTATAATAAAAAATTATATGAAAATTATTTTGTTATTCTTTTTTTGAAAAATTTATGAAGTTTATTACAAAACAATGACAAAAATTTATAATGGAGGAATCATATTGATTTGTCGAATCGATAATGTTTTTTAAATGGGAGTGTTATGTATATATTTTTTTAAATGGGAGTGTTATGTTCTTTTAATATTTTTTTGTAAAAAAAAATTACTTTTGTCATATATATTCTTTTATTTTTGTTTAATAGGTTGAATTAATTAGGAATAGACACAGTGTTTGATTTATTATTATTAGGTATTTGATTTTCCTAAGCGTAAACATATGAATAAAAACAATATTTTATATAGATTTTATTTTTACATATTTTTATACAGAAACACTGCAATGTCATACTTTATTGTCATGTTTTAGATAAACTAAATGACTTTTTTTGCGTTGTTTATATTTAACATCTCTATGAAACTTTTCAATAAAAAAAGTTTTGTCTATATAAATAGGTGGTAAAAATAACTCATTTCAATAACTTATTTCAATTATTATATTTTTGCCTTTTTATTTTACCCACATTTTACCCACATTTACTTATAATTTTTTCCGCATATATTTTTCATAAACATAATTTAACTAATTTTATATTTATTCCCACAAGTGCAATGTGATAGAAATAAGTTAAAACTGTTTTATCAAAATTCATGGAAGCTGTATCAGTACAAACTATAGTTGCGAAGAAAATTTTTTGTTGATTCTGTATTAAAATTTGGTACGATGAAAATTTTATTAATGTTATGTTGTATAATAACAGTCCAAAAAAAAACAGTTAATTTTTTTATCATAGACATTAGTGTAAATTATAGATTTGGTAATGAACTATTAAATAATTAGAATCTTAATAATCTAAACCTAAAAATAAACATCACTATTTTGATTACTATGTAATAAATACATAGCGATCTTCGGGTCTTATAAATTTTACTATTAAATTTAAATTCACTACATAGTAGTCAGGATCTTATAAATTTTTAAACCCAAAACAAAAATAACAAAAAAAAGAAGGGTAAATAAAAAAACTTTTTTTTGTTTGTTTTATTCTAACAGTTTTGTCAGAACACTGCTCTGACAAAATTGTGAGACTTTTAGTAAAGCTAATGCTCAGCTAATTGTTTCTATAAAATTCTAAAGAAATATCTTGTTTGATCCCATTAAGTTGAAAAAAATTTAAACCAATTAAAATAAATAAATAAAAAGTTTTCAAGTTATCAGTTTTTTGTTATATTTGTTTTGCGTTCAAAAATTTATAAGATCCTGTAAACTTTTTGACTCAAGGTGTCTAAAGTTAAATGGTGGGTGACGCACTAAAAGAGTTATTTTTATTAATATTACTATTGACGTTGTCGTTGTTATTTTATTTTATGTTGGTTTAAAAAAAAGCGAAAAGATGAACTTTACGATTATTTTTCGTTCATTGAATTTTGAGAAACTTTTAAATAAAAATATGTTATTGCATAAGCTTAAAGAATAATAAAATATTTATGCTGTAAACCATATATTGTTCCATTACGAAGGAAGTGAAAAAAAATCTTTTGTTATCAAAGATTTTCGAATGTTAAAACTTGATTTTTCAATAAAAGAACTTAATTTCGGAGACTTCAAATATGAAAAAGGGATGAGTAATTGGGCGTTTTTCAGCTTCTACAATAGACAAAAATCTTATACACAAAAAAAATTCGTTTAAGTTGAATTTGCGCGTATTTTAATTTTATGAAGTATTTTTATTGTATTTAGTTTTTAAATACTTGCATTGGTAAGATATATTTTTCTGACGATTTTTACAGAATTACGTTTGTAAATTATTCCAGTTATAAAAATTCCATTACAAAAAAACTTTAAAAACTTTAATTGACATTTATTTCCAAGGTTTAAAAAAACGTAGCGGTGAGGCGGTGAGGCGTACGCTTTTTGCAAAATTTTTTAAAACTTGGCAATAGTCAAGATTTAAAAAAGCGTACGCCTCACCGCCTCACCGCTGCGTTTTTTTAAACCTTGTTTATTTCTGGTAATTCCCGCGTTGTTGGATAAGGGTAATATTGAGGACCTATGTGATAAAAGTTTTAAATTCTAGAAAAAAATATTTTATAGTTATTAGCAAAAATAATAAGTAATAAAACCACGCATGCTAAAATCATTTAATATAAGTTCATATTTGAGTTTTGTTTCAAAGGTAATTTTGTAATCGTCATATAACTTTTTAGTTCTTTTTAAAATACTTTATATCATTTTAAACATACAACATAACATTAATAAAGTTTTCATCAAATAGATTCAAATTTGATAAAAGATTAAAGTTTCATTTTGAGAAGAACAACTTTATTGTTAACTACGCTATTTATATACAAAACGTAGCATGAATTACTTCCAAATCTAATGGTTTTTTAAAAGCTCTTGAGCATATAGGGGATCCTTTACATTATAACGGTTTAATTCGCTAATTCCCTGTTGTAATTAAAATATCATTTAGCGTATTTTTTATAATATATGTTACAGTTTTATTTATTATTATTGCTTCCCAACGATCATGAAGTTATAAACGATCCCTTAATGATTGTTTTTATATAAAAAAAAAACAGAATAAAAATAATTATAAAGAATCTAATTTCTTAGTATATTTTAAGAGAAGCAAAACTAAAGAAAATATCAAGTGGCCATTTACGTACAAAATAAATTTATGCACTAAGGGGTCATCATTTTACGTTATTTTTCCCAATACTAAAAACTTTTTATGCATTATCTTCGATTAAAAGTTTAATTATGAGCTAAAAAGGTGCACTAACTTTTTTTTGGATACCTTTGTTAGGAATAAGAAAGTCAAAAGGAATAATATTTTTGTTTCTTATTAGATTTTTTAAAACCCAAATCAAAATGAAGTTGGTAGTTGCTATATTTTCTATATTTTGTAACTTTCTGATTGTCAAAGGTAACTTTTTTTTAAATGTTTATATCACATTTAATTTTTGATTAAATTTAAACTTTATTACAAAAAAACTTTTATAGAGCTTGTTGGTGAACCTGAATCATATTGCCAGGATGATTACTTTAAATGTTCTAATTTAAAGTGCGTTCCTTTTCGTTTTAAATGCGATAACTCTAATGACTGTGGGGATAACAGCGATGAGTCCGATTGCAAAGGTTTGATAAAACTTTATTTTGATATAAAACATGTGACGTGTTTTTTGATTTTTAATTATTATTATTATTATTATTATTATTATTATTATTATTGCTATTATTATTATTATTATTATTATTATCATTATTATTATTATTATTATTATTATTATTATTATTTTGGTTTAAATGTAAACTGATTTGAATCTGCCTGGTTTTTAAAAATGTTTTTACCCCAGTATAGGTGTAAAAACTTTTTTAAAAGCTATAACGCTTTATTTTTGTCGTGTCAATAAATTGCTATTTTGGATAAAAACTTAGTGCTTTAAGTCATGCCAATTATCAAAATCTTGAGCTAAAAGGTAACCAAAATCAAAACCTTATTAGCTTTACCAATTATTTCGGTAATTTTAGCAAATAGCAACTAAATACTTTCGGATTTCGGATGTATTCAAAGCTCAACAATAGTAAACAAGAAATAAGTGCTATAGTGATTACAGAAATAAAATTACTTCGGGAAAGTAATTATTGGGAATGATTTTTTTCAAAAATTATAAATTACAACGTAAGTTCTTTAAAATATACAATTTTTTCAGTTTAAAAAAAAAACTTCAATATCATAAGATAACTAGTTTTTTATAAAAAGATAAAAAGTTTTTATTTTTTATTTATGAGAGATTTATTTATAATCAAGCGTTACTAAAAATTTTAATTTTAGCTATGATATTTAATTTCATAGATGATATATCTCTTATTTAGAAATAAAAGGTTTTATTGTTCAACGAAGATTAAATAATGAAAAACAAACATTTAAACGAGCTTTAGGTTAAATTTTATATTTCTGAAAACAAAAAACAATGAATAATTTCAAATTTAAAATCTTTTTTTCTTATTTAAGACAATTGCATTTACTGATTCTTAAGTAAAAAGTAGAACGTTTGACATACGGCTAGTTAAATTCAAAAAACTCAATCTATATTGATTAATTCAAATGTTTTATTAAAAAAAAAAAAAAATTCGACGAGATAAATTCCGCTTTTAAAAATAACAAAAAACAATAAATGATTTCAAATTTCAAATCTGTTTTTCTTATTTAAGACAATTGCATTTACTGATTCTTAAGTAAAAAGTAGAACGTTTGACATACGGCTAGTTAAATTCAAAAAACTCAATCTATATTGATTAATTCAAATGTTTTATTCTTAAACAAAATTTCGATGAGATAAATTCCTATTCCTGTGCTAATAGAGAATTATTTTTAGTCTATAAATTAAATACGTTTATAGAAAAAATAAACAAATAAAGAACTCGCTTTTAATATTTACTTTTTAAAAAGTTTTTTCATTTTTAAATTTATGTTATCTTTTTCATTTTTTTATGTTTTAATGTGAATCTTGATCAGTATAGAACTCTCTAAGATAATCAATGATTATCTCTCTAAGATAATCAATGATTATCTCTCTAAGATAATCAATGATTATCTCTCTAAGATAATCAATGATTATCTCTCTAAGATAATCAATGATTATCTCTCTAAGATAATCAATGATTAAGATAATCAATGATTAAGATAATCAATGATTAAGATAATCAATGATTAAGATAATCAACGATTAAGATAATCAATGATTAAGATAATTAACGATTAAGATAATCAATGATTAAGATAATCAATGATTATTTATCATTTATAAAAATAAGAATGAAAAGATGTAAGTTAGCGGAAATAAATGCCGACTTAATTGCTTACCAGTTTTTTAAAATGTATACCTTTTTTCAAAACCAATTTTTTGAAAATAAAGATTAATAAAAAAACCTTTTCTTTTAATGATGAAAATATGTTGTAAAATGCACGAAACAACTTTTAATTTAAAGCATAGAGTCTATAAAGTTTCGCATAAATAGTCATCATAACAAGTTTTCGTTTTGCAATATTTTAAATCTTTCACGAAAAAATGTTTCAGAAATTTTCAAGTTATAAACATTGGTTTTATATTTTCAACAATAATTTGTATTAGTAACAAAAAAAAACCATATGACTAATGTTGAATAAAGTGTAACACAAAGTTTTTTTCTAAATAATGCAAATTATTATTAGGTATGTGACATGAAATTTTTCAATTAATCAAAATACTAGATTGTTATATATTATTGGAAAGAGCTTCATTACAGTTTTTTAAAGGTTAAAAAATTATTAAGTGCATTTTAACTATGTATCAAATTTCGATATATGGGTTTGTTGAAGAAACGGTGACCAAATTTAGAGTTTATCTTAACTTTAAATGTTATAACTTTGCCAATTTTTATCGAAATTCATAAAACTTAGTATCAAAAGAAAGGTCTTAAAAGGAGAATAAGGATATACAATTGACGTTTGCAGGGCATTAGAAGAGCGTCTATAACACCCTTCATATAACCTAGGTTTTTTTAAAAAAAAATTTATTTTTTTTATTGAAAATTTGAATTTGTTTTTATATTTTTTATTTTTAATATATTTTATATATACTATTTAAACATTATTAAAGTTCAAATTTTTATTATGATACGCCTTCCCCTACTCAAAATAGGTACCTATTCTGGGTGATTTAGAGGGATGCCTGGGCGAGCTTTTTTTTCATGAAATTTGAATATGAAGAAGAAGTCTGAATATAATATAAAAATGTCAAAAGAAAACGGTTTCGTTAAAGTCGAATTTACATGTACCAATTATTATAAAGAATATAAAATAAATGTTTATAACTTCAATATCAAAATATTTCATATAATCAAGTTATATTCCATATGATCAAATATTTGATTATAGGAAATATATTTTCCAATTATGTTAATAGTTATTAGATGATAACAAATATCATCTATCAACTACTAACATATCGATATAATTTTAGAAAAAGATGTTACTTGCTTACCAGATAAGTTTAAGTGTTTGAATGGTTTGGAATGCATTGATCGTCATTGGATTTGTGATAGTCATAGTGATTGTAGTGACAGTAGCGATGAAAAGAATTGTTCTTATTCAAGTAAGTTTAAACAATGTCATTAACACAAATAAATTATAATATATATATATATATATATATATATTTATATATATATATATATATATATATATATATATATATATATATATATATATATATATATATATATTTATAACTATTAATATAATTTAACCAATAAAATGAAAAATGTATGTCAAGCAAAATAACAACTTCAAAAAAAAGTTTTTTATATTTCTAAAAAGATATTTAACAAAATACTACAATATATATATATATATATATATATATATATATATATATATATATATATATATATATATATATATATATATATATATATATATATATATATATATATTATGTTAGTGTATTCTACAAATAGAGTGCTTAATGTTCTCAAAGAACAGAGCAATAATAAATTAGTAAAAACATTTATCTAATCTTCTTCAACAAGTTGTTTCACCATCAGTAAGTTCATCAGGAAGGAAACAACTTGTTAAAGAAAACTAGATAAGTGTTTTTACTAATTTATTATTGCAGTTATTTAAAAAGAAACTTTAAAAAGCATTTAAAGCAATATACACTTTGTTTGAACAAAAATAGCCCCGGGTCCCAAGAAATCTTAATCCGCCACTGGTTATGATATTATAAGAGCTATGATTAATATATTTACTAAATCATTAAAATTTTTTAGCAATAGTTGTTTTTATGTCATCGTTAGTTGTTACGTTTTGTCAGTTTATTACTGTTTTTTGAAGGAACGGTAGTGTTTAAAAACTATTATCAATTTAAAAAATTTCAATCCTGTAATAAAGTAACGTCTGACCAAAAATCGAAAGAAATAAAATATAAAACAACAGCAAAGTGATCATAAACAGTAATTACAAAAATGTAAAAAAAAACACCTCTTTGTGGTGGGGGCCTGAAAAATATTTTGCGGGCGGGCCCAAAATTTGAAGTTTCGCCTCTGGATATGTTTTCAATTTTCTTTTCTCTCTTTCTAACACTCTCTTTTGTTTCAATATTGTTCATTCATTATAAACACTGTATACTATTTCTTGCTTTTTTTGTGTCGTGATTTTGTTTGTTAAGTTGTTTTTTTGTATCTGATGATGAGGTTTTGTATTCAATGATAGCTGTCGTAATTCCTTGATTTTAATCGTTTATTATTATTATTGTTTTGTTATTTTTATTATTATTATTGTTATTTTCTATTATATTATTTTTATTGTTATGTAAACTATCATTGTTATTATATATTGTGTTAATATAATATATTAATACATATTATTATTACATTATTTTAACTGTATTATTAAGGTGTATTTTATATTTTCATCTTTTTTTTTTATTATGTTAATTTATATTTTGTATTTTTTAATAATGTTGTTGTTGTTGATTTTATTTTTTGTTGATTTTAGTTAGGTGTTACTCCTTTGACTAGTTTTCAACTATATGAGTGACACCTAACCTGATTTGTAAAATTATAATTAAATTTGTAGTTTTTAAAGTTTGGTTAAATAAATGAATGAATCATTAATAACACTGAATCTCTTTTGTTTTTCATTAGTAAAACATATTTTTATTTTAACTTTGTCAAACAAAATTAACAAAATAAAAAACATCATTAAGATGCACATAAAAAATCATTATTAGAATACAATTAATGATACTTGTGGAAATTTTTTTTTTCTAAAAAAAAAACAAGTTTTAGTATAATGAAAAATGTTTAAAACATTAAAAACATGTTTTAAACATTCAACTAAATTAAATTTAATTGAAGATTGAGAGAGAATATCAGAATATTTTTCTTTTTATAAAAAGTTTCTTTGCGGTTTTGGCCCTCAACCTTTTTGCTTCACTTAATGAAACCTTTGTTAAGATTTACAAAAAAAAAATGGCACAAAACAGAAATTGACCACAACAAATATAATGATCCTTAAAAGTTGTATTTATAGTTATCTTTTTACCAATATCTCTTTGTAACTAAAGTTACTTACCAAACTAACTTTCTTGCTTAGGAATTAATATCACTTGTATTAATGATGAATATACATGCCAAAATAAGCGTTGCATCCCAAGTGGTTGGCTATGTGATAAAAATAATGACTGTGGTGATAATTCTGATGAATTGAATTGTCACAATAAAACGTTGCATACTCCTGAATGTAGTGATGATTTATGGAAATGCCATTCTGGAGAATGCATTAAATCAAAATGGAAGTGTGATTTTAAAGATGATTGTACTGATAAGTCAGATGAAATTGGCTGTGGTATGATTTATTTATTTGTTTTTTGCATTTTTAAAATCTCTCTAGGTAATAAAAATAAAAAATCTTTTTTTCATCTTTTTTCAGTTTCTTACTATTGTTTATGTAATGTCAAGTAAACTGTTTTAGAAATTGTTAAAAAATGTTATTATTTTTTTAAGGTTCTTTTTTAGAATATATTTTTTAAATATAAACAAATATTATTTTGTTAAATTTTAAAATAGTTGAATCATAAGTTAGTGAGATGTTAAATAAATTAAACTAACTTTATAACTTAATGCATAACAATTCATTAAATGCTGCACTGTTGTGTGTCACATTTAAAGTGTAGAAATGTTTTGATTTGACAATTTTGACATATTTTAAGAGTATCCTGCAATATTAGTTGTTTTTCAATATTATTATAAAATATTTTATGAAATATTTGTTGTGCTATAAAAATGTTTTATGAACAGTATAATAATGTTTTACTACAATGCTTGCATTTTGGCTGAGGATTGTTAATAATTTTACGAATCTTTTTTAAAAATACATGAATCTACAAGCTTTGTTGGGATTAAAAGCAGTTTTTTTTAATATTACTATACTTTTTTGTTTTTACTCATTTTATTTGTTTTTGTTTCACTCTGGTGTGGTTTCAATTGGTTTTTACTCTTCAAAAGATCTTTAGTTTCATGTTTGGTTTGTAATATTTAAATAATCCTTTTCTTTTTTTTTTGTCTTTATTTCAGTATTAGTCAAAAAGGTAAATTTGCTTTCAATCAAAAAGACAAATTTATTGAAATAATAATCTCCTTTCAAGAGAGCGCCAATTTATGTGAAAAGTAATTTTAATGATTAAGTTTGATTCTTTTTAGAAATGTTTTTAAGGTATATAACCTTATTTACATCAAAAACATTATAAAGCTTTGTAATTTTAAGGAACAATTTTTTATGACTTTTTATGATAAACAGATTTTATTCAAGTTTTTGTGATAAACTAACTTACTATATATACACTAATATATAAACTAACTTACTATATATTCACTAACTTTCTATAAATAAACTTACTTTTTATGATAAACAAACTACTTGAACTACTTATATACTTAAAGGGACTACCAAGTCCCAAGACATGTTGTGTTCATATTAAAGAGAATGTTAAAAAAAAAGTCTGAGCAAATTTTTTTTGATTAAAACTAATTAATAAATGTGTACCAAAAAAAACAAATCTTGTTGTTTTAGTCGAAGCTCGTCTTCTGCATTTTCTGCGGTATTTTGAGTATGTAAAATAAACGCGATTTTCTAGGCACATTATACAGACTTGATAATTTATTCAAGCGCGTTTAATTCATAGGAGTTTTAGAGCATGACATCATTGGAAACATTCTAGAAATTCTTTAAAAATTTTACTATTAAATTTTACTAAAATAGCTAACTATAGTTACTTATTTTATTAAAAGTTTTTTTTATTAATTGTGCGTTAGTTTTTTACAAATCTAACGAACAATTAATTAAACCAAGCACTAAGAAAAGATATAAAAATTATGAATATACTAATAAAATATATAATTTGTAAATAACTTTCAAAATTTTGACAATTTAAAAAATATATATTATAAAACATTTATTTTTATAAATAAATGATAATAGTTTAAAAGATTTACGGCTTTGCAGATGTGGCTCCGAGTATGAGCCATAATATTAAAGTAATAGTTCATTTGATAATATATTCTTAAAAAAAATTATGCTAGATATCTCAAAACGTAACAAATCGTAAATAATACATTTCCTAAAACATTTCAACAGAATACTCTAGAACTTTATTTTGCTTAGTCAGCGTGTTTTTTGAACCAATAGAATTAGTTTGTTCGCAAATTCGGCGGGTTTTTAGTGTTCGCGAATATTCTTTTTATTCTTCCACAAGATGTTTTTAAGAACATTAAAGTTAATTATGTTTCCATGTATGTCTGTAAAATAAAAATAATATATATTAATTTTTTAATTTTTAAGCCCCCGCTATAATATATATTGGATATTATAATAATGGAAATATAAATGAAATAAGATCACCTCAATACCAAAAAACACATTTTTGAAAATCAGAGAAAAAATGCGTTAATAATTTTTTTTTATATTTACAAAGTAAATTAATAAAAGTGCATTATTATTTAGGTTAAAAAATATTTTATCTAATATTTTGAAAAAAAAACTTATAATAAAAGAAATCAAAATTCACGTGGTCTAGACGATTATTTTTAAAAAGTTGCGCAAATAAAATACTATTTTGTTTTTAATTTTATTTCTGTTTTTAATTTTATTTTGTTTTTAATTTTATTTTTGTTTTTAATTTTATTTTGTTTTTAATTTTATTTTGTTTTTAATTTTGTTTTACAAACACATTCTAGAACTTTAAAATATAATAAAAATGAATATGGTTTAGAAATTGTATGCAAAAAATAACAATCGGTGTTTTTTTTAAAAAAAAAAACTATGGCGTCATGCACAAAAACTCCTATGAATTAAACACACTTGAATAAATTATCAAGTCTGTATAATGCGCCTGGAAAATCACATTTATTTTACATACTCAAAATACCGCAGAAAATAGAGAAGACGAGCTTCGACTAAAACAACAAGATTTGTTTTTCTTGGTACACATTTATTAATTAGTTTTAATCAAAAAAAACTTGCTCAGACTTTTTTTTTTAACATTCTCTTTAGTATGAACACAACATGTCTCGGGACTTGGTAGTCCCTTTAAACTAAAAAAGTAAATGATGCAACTGTTAAATGTTATATTACATAAAAAAGTTCCTTCATTTTCATAATTTTGTATAAAAGAGTTTGCAAAATTAATACTTAACTAAATTTTATATTTTGTTTTTAAAAAAAATTGACTTGAAAATATAAAAATAAAAATGTAATAAGTCATTTTTGAAATAAACTCATGTAAAATATAATAAGTTATTTTTTACATGAGTTTATTTGGAGAAATTTGTTTATGAAAAAAGATTTAGTTTTTGTACTGGTCATTTGAACTTATTAAGTTTATTAAAAAATTTTATAAGATAAATAAAAAAGAGAAAAAAAATAATGAAATACAAATATTAGATATTTAAAGAATTAATTAATTTTGTCTGATAAAGCCTTTAGAATAATTTTTTATTAGAAAAATAAATCAAATCAAGTAAAAACTTAACAAATCTTACATAAAAAAGCGCATACTTATTAAAAAACAGTTGTGTTTTTTTTTTTTTTTATTTTGCTTTTTGTAAAGCGCTTTTTTATTTAAGATTTGTTAAGTTTTTACTTTATTTGATTTATTTTTCTAATAATAAATTATTCTAAAGGCTTTATATACTTAATATACTGGGAAAGATGTTTTGTTATCATTTCAATGGTCAATGAGCAAGTTACCAAGATCTGGGTGGGGAAAAAGATTTAATTAAAAACAAGGAGTGGCATATTTTAGGCATCATATAGTTTTTTTCATTTTTGTATCATTATGTTTTTTTATGTTTTATTTTTTAGATTTATTGTTGTGTGATCATAATAATTTTAAATGTAAACATGGAGAACAATGCTTATTGCCAAAATATAGATGTGATGGTTTAGTTGATTGCACAGATGGCTCAGATGAAGATGATTGTGGTATATAGAGATATTATAAGATTTATGAGTTTTTTTGGTGTTAATTAACTGTTTAAAATAAAATTTAATATATTTAAATATATTTTTCAGATACTGTAAGTGAAATTTGCACTACAAACCATTTTAAATGTTCTGATAATAAGACTTGTATTGATTGGAAAAATGTATGTGACAAAAAAAGTGACTGTCCTAATGGTGAAGATGAATCAAATTCTTGCTATATTAATGAATGTGAACATTACAATGGTGATTGTAGTCATATTTGCACAAATTTGAAAATTGGTTATGTTTGTTCATGTAAGCCAGGTATTGTGTTTTAAAATTTTTTTAATATTCTATAAAAACACACTTCTGATTATATTGTAAGATTATATTGGCTGTACCAGGAAATGGTACTATTTCTGAAAACTCTTAGAAGTATTTTTTACTTTTGTAAGAACTAACAAATAATACTGACGTTTGTTTTACTTTAAAGATTTTTAGCATCTGATATAAAATAGCTTTATGTATAATAAATTAAAGGTTTATTTTGACATTAGGGTTGCGTAGCTTTATGCAAGGCTACTTTGTGTAAGGCTTAGTTAAGTTTATAAAACAGTTTTTTATTATTACTTTTTATTGAAAAGCTTGTTTATTAAAATAAAACTTTAATACAAAATGTTGTTGTTTTTTGATTTATTGATTTATTGACATTTAAAACTAAAGTCTTTTTTAAGACAGGACTAAAGGGATCTGCCACAAGAATTTTTTTTTTTTTTAACTTAACTGCTTTCATATTTTGTCATTAAAAACAATGACTTTAATTAAGTTTTTGTACATTAAACTATGTTAATTAAATTATGTTTTTAAAATACTATTATTAATCTTAGTACTTAAATTTTAATTTTAAGGTTATACTTTATCTAACGATGGAAGAACGTGTGAAGATATTAATGAATGTGAAATACATGGTTCATGTCATCAAATATGTCATAATACAAATGGAAGCTATTATTGTTCTTGTGCTGAAAATTATGTAATGCAGCTAGACAAAGTTTCATGCAAAACTAGTAAGTAATTATTAAATAAACTTTATTTGTTGCACCACTAACTTTTTTCTTTCTATGTTTTAAGTATTGAAATTCTAGATGTTGAAGGCTGGATTTATTTTGCAAATAGAAGGGATATTCGTAAATTTTCATTAAGTGGACATGAGTATGATATTGCAGTTAATGGTTTAGAGGGGGCTGTTAGCATTGATTTTGATGTTCATAATAACTTTATTTATTGGACTGATGTTGTTCAAGAAACAATCAACAGAGCTATCATTGGTTCAAATCAGATGAGACCAGAGGTTTTGGTAAAGAATACTCACACTTCAGATGGTTTGGCTGTTGATTGGCTAACAGGAAAGCTTTATTGGACAGATGCAGGATACAAAACTATTGAGGTTGCAGACCTAAGTGGGAAAAATAATGCTGATTTGGTCACCATTGATTTGTTGGAACCAAGAGCGATATCATTGGATCCATTTGAAGGGTATGGAATCCTTTATTTAATTTTTGATGTCATTTCTAAAGCATAAGTCAGCAAAACAAAATAATACACTTTAAACATTTATTTAGGTTTATTTATTGGAGTGACTGGGGTGATTCTGCAGTTATTTCTAGAATTTCTATGGATGGTAATAAAGAAACACGTAAAAGCATTGTTGATAAAGATATTATATGGCCAAATGGTCTAACTCTGGATCTGATTCAGCGTAAGTTATACTGGATTTGTGCAAAACTTAAGAGACTTGAAGTTATTGATTTTAATGGAAAGAATCGAAAACTTTTGAGAATGTTAGGTTAGTAGGTTATTGTTATTTTATTATGATATTACAATTAAATCGTGCAAAAAGTTTAGTAAATAACTATTTATATAAATTAGTTAAAATTAATAAGAATTTTGAGATAAACAAATACTAATAATAATACACATACTACATTAAAAAAAAAATTGAAGTTAAACTAAAAGTTTAAATTTTAATATTCAGGTGAAATGCATCCGTTTTCATTGGATGGTTTTCAAGATCAATTATATTTTTCAGACTGGAAAATTAGTAGTATAGACTCTTTATCAAAGTATAATTTATCTCAAAACTTTCTACCTTTGAAGTCTGGATTATTTGCTCCAATGGATGTAAAAGTTTTTCATCCAGCTAGACAACCTTTAGGTAAGTTGAATTAAGTTTGCTAGACAACTCATGTTATGTTAAATTTTACCTTTTTAAAATTTTTAACGTTTTAAATTTTTTCTTTATACATAACCTTCGTATACTATAATATGCTCACTGATAAAGTTTGTTCATTCAGCACACAGATTACAAGAATATTTATTTAATAATGCTTATAATATATTGGTGAAACCATTATTGTTTTATTTGTTTAGCTATTTATTTTATGTTTATGAATTCAGATATAAATTTACCTAATTAGTTATATGAAAATATTAAAAAAAAAGCTGCTTTTTCAACTTTCATAATAAAAACGGTTTATTTACTGTTGAAATATTTTAATGTCTCCATACTAACAAACAACAACAAGCAAATAAAAGCTAAAAACATGTCTTATAAATGTATCTTAAAATAATGTGTCTTATAACAAAAGAGATGAAAATAAATTTTTCTTGTTTTATTTTTTACAAAAGTAGTTTATTCAATAGATTAAATTCTATGACGATTTTAGAACATTTGATCTCAAAACGAAAATTTCAAACGAGTTAAATATTTTAAAGCTCATTTTACAGCTATTTCAGCAGTGCAACTCACTTTTGAAGACTGTTAATTATTTTTTCCAATTATAGGCGTGAATCCATGTGATCTCAACAACACATGCAGCCATTTATGTTTACTTGGAAATGATGGGAAAAAGCGTATTATTTCCTGCAAGTGTCCACGTGGCATGTATTTAAATCAAACGAATTGCGTGGGAACACCAATTATACGTACTTCTATTAATGTACTAGAATTAACTACTCAAGCAACTACTCAAGCAACTACTCAAGCAACTACTCAAGCAACTACTCAAGCAACTACTCAAAAGAGTACTCAAAAGAGTACTCAAAAGAATTCTCAAGTCACTACTCGAAAAGTTACCCAAACAACTACTCAGGCACCTACTCAAAAAAAAGAAAAACAAAGTATGTCACCTGCAATAAAGTTCGAAAAGTTAAAAGATAAAAATGTTTTGGTAAAGTTAACTTTGTTATTTGTATTTTTGCTTTGTTAATATTTTTCTTGCTTTAAATTTTTTTTTTTACAGGTAGCTAATTTTTTTTTTTTAGATAACTTTTTCTTTGCCAGACGTAAGACCAACTTTAAAAACTCGATTTTTAAAATGTATGTTTTAACACTTTTTTTTGTGTGTGTGTGTCAGTAAAATGGTAGTATTAAGTAAACAACCAAATAAAAATGTACTTTAGATAAAGCTGCAAAAATAAGCGATGGATCATACTTGGCAATTTTCTTATCAATTTTAGTTGTCATAGTAATAGTTCTTATATTTATTCTGATTCGGAGGCGTCGTGAACAAAATAAAGGTCAAGTAATGTATTACAAAGACATGTCAACAACGCCGCTAGAAGAGGATTTTTATATAGAAAACGAGGAAATAGACGAGAAAGCTAATATTATCTATCAAGATGTTTAATCTGAAATTTTTCTAATAGTTTTTTTATATGATATTAGGTCTAAAAAAGTTTTTGAATTTCGCGTAAATCTTTTAAACCATTTTACAATTCTAGGGATTCTGCGTAGTGTTTCTGCCGTCATTGTTTAATATTTGTTGTAAATTTGTTAAATTTATTTAAATTATATATTCCTAAATTTTTTCTTGTTTTGCATTGACTTTTAAACCATAATCCATTTTTGTCCCAACTCTGCCAGCAATTAATTTTCAATACTTCTTTTTTCATTTTCAATACTATTAATTTTCAATACTAGTTTTCAAACTACAAAAGTTTATATTAATTGTTGGATATTAATTAATACAAAATTATCTTTTTTTGCTGAAAAAAACTTTTTCAGTTTTTTAAAATTTCAAATTATAAACAAGTTAGATACTCAAGATAATACATATGATATACACCAATATTAATATATTTTAATGCATTTACTTAGTTGTCAATCCCAACTATAAAAAACCGAGATACTATACTCCCAAGGTTACAAAAACCCTCGTTTTCCAGAATTTTAAGATATTTTGCAGAATGTTATCTCTTGTTATGGTATTAGATTGGGCCAGTTTTGCCAGTCTTCTTCTGCTCTCTTTAACTAAAATTAAAAAAATAGATAAGTTTACTTAGCCGAAATTAATTGTTTATATTATAAACCTAATAAATGCAAATATGTTTTTCTTTAATTCGCATATTGAACCGAATAGCCATACTCTTTCTGTCCCTTTAATACAAGTCAGCTCAAGTTGAGGGGTAATTCTTATTCGACATAAATATAAACATATAAATGTTTGGAGTATGCTCCAAACATTTATATGTTTATATTTATGAGCTTGGGAACAAAAATATCCAAAAAAAGTTATTTCCTTTACCCCAAAAGTGAGGGCAATGAGTTAATGATTTAAATTTTGTTACAATTTCATCCATAATTTTACTAAATCAGCAGGTTTTGAATTTTACGAAATAATCTTTCAGAGATAAAAGTCACTTTTTGTCACTTTGTAATGGTATAGTTACCACAAATGTAGCAGGAGCAATCTGGTGAGTTTATACATCCTCTGGTAGCCATTCTCTATAAAACAACTTGTACTTTAGGCTAAATAACAGTTTGTGGAGATCTTAAAAACTAAAATTCAAACTTACTAGAGTACTGAACTATTTATAAAAAATATCGAAAAAGCTAAAACTAAACAAACAGTTTGTGAAATAACTGTAGGTGATGGAATTTTTGTCACTATTTATCCCGAAATTAGCGTTAAAAATATTATAAAAATCTCTTATTAAATTTGAAACAATTTTTATGTCGCAGACCTGTGTTATTATACAGTAATTGCTCAAAAAGAGTGTGTTGGTAGTCTTTGAAATCTAAAACCTAATACTTTTGAGAACTCATAATTTCCTTCGACTTCATCTAATTTTCATCCATTCATCTTAAAGAAAACTATAAACATTTAAATATTGACATAACAAATATAACATTCAAATAATGGCGTTGAAAACATTACATTTGCATAGAAGACATATAACACTAAATAATTATTATATACATATATTATTATTTAATTACCAAGATTAACTGGTGGATCTGGTTGAATATTCTCTACAGGATTGACATTGCGATCTAACCAATTCTGGTACTTAGCCTCAAACCGTATCTTAGTTCTGTTTTTCTGCCTCCATTTTCTTCTAAAATAGTTCATAAAATCCCCTTTTAACCTAATAATATCAGCCTTGATATCTACTATCCTGTTAATCTTCTTTTCCCACTTGACCTCTAAAAGTTTATTGTACAAATCTCACCGCTTCATCATGTTGAAACTGTCATTTAAATTTTTTCAATTTTGATTATTAAAAGTGGGTTTTATAGTTTATTTATTTTGACCACGTGCTGTAACGGTTTGCGGTCAACGCTGCAACGACTTGAGATCAATTAAAATTAATTGATCGACGCGTTGGTAGCGGGTGTTTATTATTTATTTAATAACTAAAAACAATGACTTGAATATAAAGTTTTAAGTAGATTACATATTTACTTTTGAAAATTAATTTTTTGGTTAAGTTTTTAAAATTTGGTTAAGTTAACCTTTGACAACATGCGGCAACCGGGGGTGGGGGGCAAGTGGGGGCAGAAAATCTTTTTATAAAGTCTTAGTTAAAGTAATAAAGTATGCATTTAAATTAATTTCATCTTAACGTAACTTAACGTGTGGTAAATCTATTACCGCAAAGTTTTCTTACATAAAAAATCGTAAAAAAATCTGCTAAATAATTAAAAAAACTGTTTTTTTAAATAATTATAAAATTATAGGTAAATACGTATAAATGTTTTCAAATTCCATAAGGATAGATTATTTCTAAATGTTACAGATGTATTCCCAGTATTTACATGTTTTTCACACATATTTTAACAACTTTTTGACTTTGAAGCATTCTAAAAGGTTTACAAAATTAATCAAGTGTATTATAAAATAAACATTCATTGCCATTAACGTACGCATGTTAATTGCAAATGATTAAAAAAGTCAATATACGATCTTTCGTTTTGACCCTTTTGCTAAACTTTGGCCCACTGTGTATTGGTTACAAAAAAGTTTTTTCGATATCGCTTTTAAATCAACGTCTTTTAAGTTTGACTTTCTCAAGCGCAATCTTGAAATCTTTAAGTTTCGTTTACATATTTGCTCAAGCTTTTTTTTTTGAAGTCTAACTTGACAAAGTCAGACTTTAAAGTTCCAGTCGAACTTCACTCAAGTACGCTTCTTGCATTCCACCCTAAATGAATGAAAAGCTCAATTATATAAAGATGAGATTAAGCTTTTCAATCCAATAGAAGCACAACAAAGCATATAGTTACAATGAATAATAAAATAAAATAAGAGTATTCCCAGCCGGCACAAAGACGTCTATAAGACATCTAACGTTAATATAAGTAAGTCTGAAGTACGTCTTAGGACGTCTACCTGTTAACACCTTTAAGACGTCTTGTATAGACGTCTGTAAGACGTATTGCCACAGACGTCTGCAAGAAGTCTAGAATTAGATGTCTCATAGACGTCTAATTGAAAACTCGCCTGAGCGTCTAAAGAACGTCTTAAGAGGTTTATTTGTTAACACCTTTAAGACGTCTTGCCGAGACGTCTATTAGACGTTCTCTCAGCATTTGTAGTATTACATACCAAATCGACTAATAAAACAGATTCAACATTTAAATTATATTTAAAATCATATTTTATATTCTTTTACGTTAAGATAACTAATAACCAAAATGTAAAAGAAACTATACAGGGTGACAACCATAAGGTGAAACACATAAAGTAAGCTATATTTTCAAATTTAAGAGTTATATTTATTCGAAAGTGGTATCAATAGAAAGCTACAAGTCTATTTAACAAGTTTTATTGGTTTAATTCGAACCTGTCGCCCTCTGCTTTTATGCAGGCTCGACATCTCTTGAAAAAGTTTTCACACGCGGCACGCACGGTTTCTTGTGGCATTTTGTCCCAAATGTCGTTCAAAAGTTCCTTGAATTGGTCCAAAGTTGTTAATTTATGCTTCCCCAGTTCTTGTAGCATGTATCCCCAGATAAAGAAATCAAGGGGATTGAGGTCAGGACTCGAAGCAGGCCATTCTTTGGTATCGATAAAATCTGGGAAATTTTGCTTGCAGTAATCTTGAACAACAATAGCCTTGTGTGCAGGGGCAGAATCTTGCTGGAACACCCATGGATCATCCTTAGGTTCAATCAAATCTTTGATCACATTCTATAAGTAGTATTCTTTGTTGATTTTCACCCCTCTATCGATAAATTTCAGAGGAAATTTCCCCTTTTTCGAGATGGCCCCGAATACCATGACCGCCGAAGCGTTCTGATAACGAGGGACAGTTCTAACGTTTAAAGGAACATCAGAGAGCTTTACAGCATAAACTCTGTCATTTTGTCTGTTCAACGGGCGCTCCAAAGTAAACATTTTCTCGTCCGAAAAAACAATATCTGCACCACCGTGCCGCTTCAATAGCGATTTGCAACGCTGGACTCTTTCCACCTTGTTTTTGTCAGTGAGGCCGGCAATTTTTTGATTACGGTAGCACTTAAGTCTTAAATCTTGTTTTATAACCTTTTGCATAGAGGTATATGACATGTTCAGCTCTTTAGCTAGCTGCCGACCTGAGCGAGCAGGATTTCTTCGTAAACGTTCTCTTACCACTTTGATGATTGCTGGAGTGCGCTTGACGCGCTTTCTTTTTCTAGTTTTAGCTGGAATTGTTTGCCCAGTAGTTTTGTAACGAGAAATTGTTCGACTAATCAATGATTTGCTGACTTTTATATCATTTAGGCGTCTCCAAATATCAGTTTGACTTAAATTTTTTTTGTGTAATGAAATTATCAGCTCCCTGATAGGATTTAGATCTGTATTTTCATACAATCCCTCATTTTTTCTTCCTCAAATTTTTAAAACTTTTTCTAAACAAATGTCAAAACAAACTGTAATCAAGGGAAAAGTCATATGGTACGGGGTTAATAAATGATTGGGGTTCGAAAATGTGTTTCACCTTATGGTTGTCACCTGTATATCTGCAATAAAACTTACAACATCAATATTATTTTTTATACGACTGCTATCTTTGTTGCTCGTGCAGGGGCATTTCTAAGGAGGCTCTTAACAACTTGATAAAATTTCTTTTCCCGTCATCTTTAGGAACTTAAGTGTCACTACTTTCCATATTATTTTGTCGGTCTCGCTTCCACCAAATGCTAACTCGTTTTAGCTTTCGGTACCATTCATGTTCATTTCACGCACGAAAAAACGTTTATAAAAATAAAAAATGTGAAAAATCGTTTGATTATATTCTTGATCATATCTTTGTAATCAAGCTCTCCTATAGGCTTTAGTTGTACAATCTAAGAAGTAAAAGTCACACTAAACTAGAAGATTTTAGTGGCCTAACACACGCACATGTGTGTACCGACATATTAAATAATATCGATATATTAAGCTTACTATTTCTTCTAGAAATAAATCCAATTTCATATTTTCTTCAAACATGAAAAACTACTATTTTGATTTTGTACACTCTATGTCAAATAAAAATATTGGGGTTAGTTGAAAAATTGAAGTTAAAAAGAAATTAAAGATAAATAATTGGACCTATCGCTTATCCATTTAATAACTTTTTCTTGAAAACCTAAAAAAAACAAAAAAACAATTTAATGTACTTTTTCTATTTATCATTAAAAATTATAATATATAATTCAAAAAATTTTGACATTTTATACAATATTCTCAATTTATTTAGTATTAAAATTTGGATTTAAAAAAACTAAACTTCCAATACTAAATAAATTTAATTTAAACTATACAATAAATAAATTTAAACTCACAATAAATAAATTTTAACTCTCAATAAATAAATTCAAAGTAGTATAAAATAAATCACCTTTCTAATTTAATTGATAATTAAAAACTTTAAATAATTGAATAATGCAAACTTACTTGCATTTGATATAGGATATGTTAAACTTGAACTTGGAGTTTGAATTAATTCATCTGAAGAAAATATTTGATTAATAATGATTGATCATAAAGCCCTTTACAATCTATATTAAGAGTCAAAATACAAAAATTTACAAATATTTAAAACAATATTTAAATGCGTTTATATATTATAATACTCTTTAGATGTTAAGTAAGTTTTAACAATATTTTATAATATAAGTGAATATATGTATAATATTTCTCAATATTTAATATTATGCAAAAACAAACAAACAAACAAAAAAAGCAAACAAAAACTCGAAAAATTACATCAGTTTTCATCAGTATATATGTAATGTCAATATATAATATATAATATGTAATCTAAAAAATACTGTCGTTCAGATTACAATTCCTTAATTATTTTGTGGAATAGGTAATAATTTAAAAATATAAAGATATGTTATCAATTAAAAAAATTACTTCTTTTAGTTTTCTTTTAAAAGAAAAATAATTCCAATTATGCAAAAAATCAAAATGCTTTAAAACTATTTTGTTCCATAAAAAGGCTCCACGATATTGAATGCAAGATTTGCCTATATTTGATTAAAAAATTGGTTGTTGGATATATTTATTATTTCTTAATATATATTAATTTTTTTCTTTCATTGAATATAACTTATGAAAAGAAACAGGACAAGTATTAATTTTGCATTTAAACATAAAACAAAGAACGTTAAATATATTTGCTTAGTAAATATTAAGAATATTCATGTTTAATAATAAAGGCCTGGCATGAGTAAAACGATTTTTAAAATTAATAAGACGTGCTACATGCTTCTGTTGACAAAGCAAAGGCTTTAACTTAATTTTGTTGGTACCACCCCAGGCAATATTAGCATAGTTAATATGGCAGTGAATTAATGAGTAATATAGTTGAATTAAAGTATGTTTATTTAAAATGCTTCTTGTTTTATATAGAATCCCAATACTTTTTGCAATTTTATTATTTAGATTTCCAATGTGGTTTTTCCATGAAAGATTTTCATCCACAATAATACTTAAAAATTTAGTATAAGTTACTCTTTTTATATAAATTTTATCAATGAAAAGCGGCGGCATTTCACTTGGTAGTGCATGCTTTTTATAAGCTGAATGAAAAAAAAATCCACTTAGTTTTTTCAATATTAAGTGAAAGCTTATTTGATTTAAACCAGTCAGATATTTTCTTTAGTTCTACATTCATATCATTAAATAAGTTATTGATGTCATTTCGGGATAAGAAAAAATTAGTATCGTCAGCATACATTATTGTCATTAAATTAGAAGTTTTATAGAGGTCATTAATATAAATTAGAAATAACAGTGGTCCAAGTATGGAACCCTGGGGGACTCCACAGGATATATCTAAAGCAGTAGTTGTTGAGTGTGTATCAATATGCATGAATTGTTTACGATTATTTAAGTAACTTTTTAATAACATTAAGACTTTACCAGTGATACCGTAATGTTCTAATTTATTTAATAGAATGCTGTAATCAATAGTATAAAAAAGCTTTAGATAAATCTATAAAAATACCTAAAGTAAATTGTGATTTTTCGAAGGAGTCAGTAATAACTCTTGTGAGTTGAAGTACTGCGTGTTCTGTAGAGTTTTTTTTTTTGAAACCGTACTGATTGTTGTAGAGTATATTATTTTCAGAGAGATGATTAAAAATTCGATCAAATAAAATTCTTTCAAGAATTTTGGAAAAAACTGACAAAACCGAAGTTGGACGATAATTCCCGACATTTGAAAGTTCACCACCTTTATATATAGGGGTTACTTTTGCAACCTTCATTTGGGCCGGAAAAATTCCTTGACTTATTGAACAATTAAGAACTTTAAATAGAGTATTCTTTATACTATCGTATGACTTAATAACAATGTTTCCATTTAAATCATCTGGGCCAATTGCTTTATTGGGTTTAAGCATTTTAAAAGCATTTTCAAATTCTGAAAATGATAGTTCAAAGGTATATTTAATGTAGATATGTTGATAATTTGTAAATTTTAAATTTTTTTATAAAATGTTAAATTCTTATTAAAATGCATTTACCCAAAGTTTTTGTTTTTTTATTTTCTACGTTACCATTATGGCGCGCGTTAACGTAATATTTTAGCGCCTATTCTGTAAAATACCAAAATGCGAGTACCGAGAATATTCGTTCCGAGAATTAACGAACTTCACCAAGTTTAGGGTGCGCCGTGTTCAGGTCCGCCACAGTATTTCTAACTTTACTTGCTGGTGTGGGTAAACAACTAGTTGGTATATTTTAAAAAACAGATGGTGGATTTAAAGGCCGTTGCTTCCCATATTTGCTTTTAAAAGGTGCATCATATGGCCAATGAAGTCGACATACTGCTGTATAGTCTGAAACAATAAAACCAGTTCTTGGGATAGCATCACTCCATCTTTTTTTCTTCTCTGGATTCTTCGGGAATTTGTAAATTGATATTTTTGTTGTAGTTGAGTAATAGTTCGACTTGCAAAGAGGTACACAGCATTTTAAAGGCATTTCAATTATTAAAATATCTATAATAATTATTAAAATATCTGTAATAAGGCCAATATTAACATCTTGAACCTAACAACGTCTTGAAGTTGCGCTATCTAATTTATAAACCAATCAAATTAAAAAAATTTGTTAAAACAGCGCGAACGCAAAACTTTCGTCTAACGTTAAAAGAATGAAATGTAAACACAGTATTAGATATCGGCCTTCAGTTAAACAACGCGATGTCAAGGCCTGTTATTATAGAAGGCCGTGGGTGTTACTCATCTTCTTTCCCATGAATGACTCCGAAACTTGTGTAAATTAAATGGACTTTCATCAATAAAAACAATTTTATGTGTATCCATCTCCAGACAGTTTTAATCGATATATTTACATTTAAAGCATATTTAATTTCAATTATAGTTGTCGTTGTATTATCGTTTATAAGCTTTTCAATTTTTCTTCTTATCTCTTCATTATAAATAACGTGACGAGCGCCTCCTCTAGAACCAGAAAGTGTTGAGTTCGTTCGAGTGTTTCGATTAACTCCTGTTTACGACGAAGCTTCAGATTGAGTTTCTCCTTGATCAACGACTAGATTTACAACAAGATCTTGCATATTTTGGGAAGCGGCACGAAGATTTAGATTGAGTTTTTCGCGGCAATGAAGTTTCAGATTGAATTTATCTTTAATTAACGACCAATCTCAAATCAAATTTTCGCGTATTTTGGCAAACAGAATTTCGCTGCATGTGTTTATGAAAATCTAATATCCTCATGCGCTAAATGTTTTAATAGGAAATCATGGTTGAACATCGTGGTTGTTTTGCCAATTCAGTATGTGTATAAAAAATATGTAAAAAAATATGGCTTTGCATCCATTTAAAACAAACATGACATCCATTTAAATTTAAAATAAATTCCATTAAATTAAAATAAATTAATGTAAAATTAATAAAAATAAATTTATATCATATTAGATAAATAAATATATAAAGAAAAACTTTTTAAAAAAAAAAATAGTATAGAATGTTGAGATTGCGCATGCGTTAAATGTTTTAAATGAAAATTACGATTGTTTTAATTGAAAATCACATTGTTTTAATTGATTGTCGCGGTGTTTTAAATGGCTGTCATGGTTGTTTTAAATGGATGTAAAAACCGGTATATGCAAAGGAACTTTTTTAATATAGAAAATACAATAAAAAATACAAGGAGTTGACTTACTACAGTCAACTCTCCTATTACGCGGTATTTCTACAACGCAAATCTCCATACAGCGCGGAGTGAAAGTTGGAACCGCTCACCTATAACGCGATATGATCTCCATATAACGCGATTTTCGTAAGAACTTTCTAACACGTTATTTATGCGAAAAAAAACAACAACTGACAACAAATCAAATGACTTGAAAAAAATCTATGACAATACTTATTTAACGTTTTGCCTGTATGCATTTAGAGGGTATTTCCCTTTTTCTTAATTTGAATTACGTATTAAACAATTAAAAAACTATTCCTTTTAATTTGGTTTGTGCTTAAATGTGCTAAGTGACAGAATTTAAAATAAATTGTTTTGTCTTAGAATTTATAATAAATTGTTTTGTCTTATTAAAATTAAGTTACTGGAGATTACATAAATACACTGGTAAAATATTTTATTTTCTACAGTATTCAGGTAAAAAAATTTTTTTTATAGGTTAGTAAAATGACTGAAATAATCAAAGGGAGAAAATATATGCAAAGAAAATTTATAACTCTTATGGAGAAAACTGCAATTTTAGATCGATTAAAGAATGGAGAGAAAGTGTTTTCTGTTGCGAAATCGTTAAATTTGAATGAATCTACATTTTTATGCTTTATGGTTGAAAAAAATCTTAGTTTCAGAGTTTTGTTAATCCTTGACAACGCCAGTAGTCATAGTGCAGAGATAAATCACCCAAATGGGAAAGGTCTTTATTTTCCTCCCAACTGCACTTTATTAATACAACCCTTGGACCAAGGAATCATCCAAACTTTCAAAATGTATTACATACGAATTTTTTTTGAAGTTATTTTCAGCAGATTAGAAGATCAAGAATGGAAAACTCTACTTGAAGTTTGGAAAGAATTTTCTATTTTAGACTGCACTCGAATTGTTTCATTAGCTTGTACAGAAATTAAACAATCAACACTTAATGCATGTTGGAGGCCTTTGTTACCTCAAATTGTTAAAAAAGAAGATAATATCTCAGAGACAGTAAAAGAAATAACACGGATTGTTTCTAGTTTTGGCAAGGAAGGATTTGCAGATATACAAGTGCAAGATTTAGAACAACTACTTCAAGAACGAAGTTTAAATGAAGAAGAATTAGCAGAGTTAATTGATGAGTCTACATCTGAAACATTTGTGAAAGAAGACACTAATGACAAATCTGCTTTAAACTTCACTTATGATTTAAAAAAAGGGCTCGATTTGGCTAAAGAATTAGAATTCCAGTTGACCCAAAATGATCCTTCAACAATACGCAGTAAAAAATTTAAAAGAGAATTTCAAAATTGCTTAGCTCCATACAAAGAGGTTTTGAAAGAACTACAAAATAAAACTACTTTTGAAAACCAAGGAGAAAATTTTCAAAGTGAAGAGGATTATCAACTAATTAGAGGAAAGAAAAGAAGACGGATTGGACATCTAATATTTGACAGCGATGACGAATAAGAACAGAATTTGCAATGCATCAATTTAGTTTTTTGTTGGAAACAATTTTTTTTTAAGTTGAGTTTTTAATTTCTAATTTAAATAACTTACCATATACAATAAAATTGGACTAAAGTAAATTTATTTGTGCATAATTTATTCCTAAAAAAAACAAAAACAAAAATATTTATTTCTAGGATTCTATACAACGCGGTACAAATCGATTCAATTTATATTACTTCTATGTTTCTTATAACGCGGTTTCTATATAACACGACAGAGATTTCCATATAACGCGATTAAGGTTATATATTAAAAAATATATATTTTGATAATTTGTGTGTTCCTCATAACGTGGTCTTCAAAAAATGCATCTGCCAAATCGAGTTCTTATAACACGGTTCCCATACAAAGCGGTACGAATTCATCGCGTTATAGGAGAGTTGACTGTAAATGTAATGTTGTAATTTAATTACAACATTACATTTATTAAGTCTTTGTGCTCTGTTTAATTTTAATGAATGCACAGCATCTAATAACTCTTTTTCAGTTAACTCTCTAGCGGATCGAAGAACAAATCTTGCAATTAAAATAATTGAATTAGTTGTTAAAGGAAAATGTCATCCTACTTCAAAAGAACTTATCCAAGTAAACAATGAAGGTCTTTTAAAAATAGCAGTATCAAATAATGCATATAGTAAAAAAAGATTTTGTGTCTCTGGAGCCATTCTGTACAATAAAGAATACAAAAAAAAAAATTATAAAACAACAAAAATACAAATATATATATATATATATATATATATATATATATATATATATATATATATATATATATATATATATAAAGTTAAAATAAAATAAAAAATTTATATATATATATATATAAATTATATATATATATATATATATATATATATATATATATATATATATATATATATATATATATATATATATATATATATATATATATATATATATATATATATGTATATATTTAAACTTCGAGCAGCGGAAGAAAGACCGTATACTAAAGTCAATGTAAATGTTTCATGTAAATCTGAAACCAAAAAGAAAGACTGTTAAATTCTTGTAAATTTAAAGGCAAAAAAAATAACAGTGATGAAAAATGAAAACGTATATTTATTGATTTTTGGTTTGTAATATGTTACCCAAAAATCAGAGTAATTTAACAAAAGTTTAAGACAAGAGAATTCTAGTATACAAGAGGATGATAATATCCACAGTCAAATTGATAGAGCACTCGCTCCTGTTGAAATATTTAGTCTCCTTGGTTTCATCAGAGCAATTCCTACTCTTCAAAAAATAATTTTTTTTCCGTCTACCAAATGAAGAAATTGGAATTCAAACATTTTAATTTTAAGCTTGTTTCCTATATCCAGATACAACATCTAGCATTCAGATCATGTATACTACAGACAGTCATGTTCTAATGTTTTTTCAAAAGCATGAATTAACAATCTACGATCTTAGTCATGACAGTGGTACTAATGTTATCTGCCTTGAATCAGGGTGCTCAAATTTCAAATGATAAAGCCAATGTCCTTTAAGGTATGTTCAAGTATATGCCTGCTGTAAATATTGCATTTTATAAGAATATTTTAAAACAATTTATTTTACTGTCAAAATATTTATGTTTTATATGTTATGTTGTTAAATGGGCTTCTTACTGAAATGTTATGTTTTTAATGGATTAATCCAGAGGTGCTAGTTAACTAATTATTCTCTAAGATATCTTTTTATTGTGCAATGTATTTTAGATGTTTGTTTTTAGTTTTTTTAGTATGCTTTTTTGGTTTGCTTTTAGAATTTATAACTAAAGTTTTATTTCGTTGTGAAGATCTTGGTACATACTTAAATATATTACTTATTTTCTCTGTTAAATTGAATTTTAGACAAAACAGCGTGTTTATGTAATTTGTTTACTAGTGTAAAATAAGGTTTTTTTTTCTAATCCAACAGATATGTAATTTACAGTACTTTAATTGCCAAAATATACTATCATTTTGCCACAATATATATATATATATATATATATATATATATATATATATATATATATATATATATATATATATATATATATATATATATATATATATATATATATATATAAAATACTAGCTTTTATTATTTTTTTTATCAGAAAATAGAGATTTGATAAGTTTTTATCAGAAAATGAATTTGATAAAGTTGAAGTCCAATAAAGTAATAGGTTCTGACATACCAATTAAAACATTGTTATTGATTCATACGAAATCATTAAAAAGATTAAGAAATTTTTCCTGATCAATTAAAAGTAGCGCCAAAAAGTAGGGTCTTTTGGGGTAATTTGGGTATAGTGAGGTAATTTGGGTATAAATTACATTTTTTGTATAAAAATTAGTTATTCACGGCTGTTTAACTCAATGTAAAAGAGAGCTTGACGTCACAAAAAATTTTGAGTTTAAAAAAAAAAAAGTGTTTCCACATAAAAAGTTTAAAAATTCACAAACTTTAAAATAATATTATTATTTTTCTATAAAAGCTTTCGCCTTCAAATTAAAAAAATATGAAAAATCTATCTTTCTTTGTTAAATAAATATTTATATTAAACGGACCATAATAAAATATTAAAATATTGCTTATGATTTAGGATCACTTTTTTGTTTTTTGCGATTTTTACTGAAAACCTGTCTTGGGCCAATTAAGACTCTAAAACATAGCTACATGCCTAACAGTTGAAATTTATAACACTTATCAAGAAGTGTCTATTTTATTATATTCTTACGTTACTGGTGTGTTTTTATTTTAAAAGTTATTTTTTTTTGGTTTTATATATTTAGTTTTATTATTTATAGATCAGTAACATAAGTTATTTAAAGTTAAACCTTTTATGCATATAAAAATAAAAAACCTATTTTCTAAGTTTAAAAAGATATTCTAGAACCTTTAGCTATGTTCTAGAATACCTTTTTAAACTTAACATGTTTAGCAACTTTTTCTAGTTTTTCGCGTAAATTTTTGTTTACGTTTTTAAAGTGATGTCGTAAAACATACAACATTAAAATACTTTGGCTAATATTATTTTGCGATTTTGATGTCTGATCTTTAATAATCCCTGTTTTATATCACATTTAGTTTTACAAGACTTTTTTTTAAATTATAATGGTCTAACGATGCTTATATTTGATAATAAATGTCTAAAAGATGTTTTTTCATATTTTGTTTTGATAAAAAGGACCAATAAATTTATAGATAATTTAGCTATGCTCATTATTTACCTGTTTATTTAAAAATCAAATAAGTTTTGATATATCCTTATATGCCATAAGATAAAAAATTATATTAGTATTAATAATCTTTTTATATCTCTATTACTTCAAAAATTTTAAAGGTTATAGTAACACTCTTTAAGCGATTATTTTCAAAAAATAACAAGAAGCCGTAAAGCTCACCTTGAAACAGCCGTGTATGATATACCCTTATTATATATCTTTTATAAGTACATGTGTGTTGCATATGTACTAATAAAAGACATATAAAAAAACTATAAGATATAAAAACTAACACCAAAATTATATTGGCAACACTGACAACGACTCTTCTAAAATTTTTGTAGGTTATGCACAAACGTCAGTAAAATAAAAACATAAGCATCAAAGGATTGTCATCTGTTATTCCATTGAGATGGTTTTATCTAATTTAGGTATATATACATTACTTATAAATACTTTAATTTTTAATTAATTTGGGTTTTTGAGATACATTTATGTTTTGTTATTAATTATTTAAAAGTTTGGGGTAATGTGGATATTACCGTAAACTTCACAAATAACCTAACTTTTTGTTTTAGATCATGCCACGCACATATGTGAAAAAAAAAACGCTGATAGATATGATAGCTATGATCTACAAAGGGCTAAAGAAGATGTTAAGAACAGAAATTGATATATGCAGCTGCAAAAATGCAGCTGCATATATCAATTTCTGTTCTTAACATCTTTTTAACATCAATTTCAAATGAATTTTTTAAAATTTATCAAAACTTTTTGGATAAAAACAATTTAAATGACCACCCAGAAAGAATATTTAATTCAGACGAGACTGGCGTAGGTATTGACCCTACTAATGGTAAAGTATTTTTTCCTAAAAGTGCCAGGATAACGTATTACCCAGCTAGCACCCAATACGTTGACCAACCTCGGAAGCGTTGGGAAATTTTTTTAACTTTGCGCTAACGTCGAACCATCGTCGGGCCAATGTCGTAATACAACAGATTTTAGAATGCGTATAGTGTGTTACAGGTTTTAATGTTGAAATAGCTTTCGGTCATTTTCGAATATTTTAGCGTAATTTTTTTACGCCGTGGATAGAGTCAACTTTTAATAGCGCGTTCATTGGTTGCTAAAGGTCACGTGTAAAAACAAATCTCGTTTTATATAGAGAATTTATATAAAACTTTCGGTACTCTATCCACGGCCATTTTTTATTAGAGAATTTTGTTGTTTTTGAATTTATAATCAAATTAAAAATAGTATATAGACCATAACTCATATATTCTTTCAAAAATATATATTTATGCACATATTATTCAACTCGTTTTGAACAGCTGCCGTGCAAATGAATAAGTGCCTTGAAGCAAATGTTGGAATTATTGAAGATTTAAACTCAAACTAAATTTAAGTTTAATATTTTTTAGCTCTAGAGGCCTTTCAAAATCTTCAGTAGTGGTTTTTTGAATGGCCTCAAGTGCTAAAAACTAAATTTAAGTGTATCTTCATTAAAATTACTAAAAAGGACTACCAAGTCCCGAGACATGTTTTGTACATATTAAAGGGAATGTTAAAAAAAAACGTCTGAGCAAATTTTTTTTGATTAAAACTAATTAATAAATATATACCAAAAAAAACAAATCTTCTTCTCCGTTTTCTCTGGTATTTTGAGTATGTAAAATAAACGCGATTTTCCAGGCGCATTATACAGACTTGATAATTTATTCAAGCGCGTTTAATTCA